CACTGGCCTGTGTCTTGTACTGTACGATCAAGGACATAGAATATTTTACTTACCTGTAGCATCTTTTTTGGGGGAATACAGTACAGGACACAGTACCCTATAATGTGTCCTCTAATATCCTATTGCTTCAAATAACTGAAGATGTATTGTAGGAGGAGAAGTTATATAGGCTCCTGACTGCTCTGACCAGCATCCCCTCTCCTGACAGTACCACCATATTTCAAATTTGTTCTCATTGATTTCACAGGTCGAGTCAAAAATCCTATAATTCTTATAGTTCTAAGACCTTTACCTCTTCCTATTCTTGGATAATTGTAAATGCTGCAATAAAAGCATTGGTGATGCAGTAGATGTTGTTATTCATATCATCAAATGACCATTAGCTTATAAAAAGTACAGAGGGATTTTAGAGCAGAACTCCGGGCAAATTTCTTATTAGGGGTAGAGAGGCTACATGTACAGTATGTGCACAGGTTATATGTACAAAAAAAAAAAACCAATAGCAACATAACAAAAACATAATGATACTGACCTGAGTACCCCAAGAGAGAAGAGTGACATCATTCCCTTCTTGTATTACTTCAGCTTGAGACAAAGGTAAGTAGTATGGTTCAAGAGGCACTTGTTCAACTAAAATGGAAAGTAAAGTTTTATTAGTGCAGACCAATGGAAAAAGCCTTCAGAGCCTGGGTCACATCAGAATTTGTGCCCCGGCTCTGTACCTTGAGAGTGCTCTGTTACTAAGCAAAAGTACACAGGAGGTTTCAAATGCAGAGTCCAGTGCCCAAAGGTCCAATTCTAGGAAATTTAGTCCACTGGGGTCCAGGTATGGCCTTCAAATTTGATCCTGATCAACTGTTGTGTAGAGACTAGCTCAAGCAGCATTTCTCAAATTTTTGATTTTAAGACACCAAAGAATAAATATCTATGGAATATCTTACATGAAGAAAAAATCAAATCAAATAAAGGCAAAAACAGAGCTGAGGGAAAAACACCCAACCTCCTCGGACTCTAGGCATTTGTGTTGGAGACGGGGTTATATAGGGGCTCCAAACCTCCTAAAAGTGGCAGCAAAACCCACATATATAAAAATTACCGAATTCATGGGTCCCTCAGCGAAAGAGAAAGAAAAATATATTTGAATTATACTGGCAAACAAAAAAGTTCCAGGTTTATTTTTGTGCATCAACAAGGTTCTAAAATGGTAAGTATTTAAAGGTTATAGTAGAATGTAGCTTGTAAGATGACTTTGCCAACTGACACCTGCAAAAATGTAAACCTTCTTGGTTTACTAGATAGAAAAGAAAAAATCAGTGGATCATGACATTTTTGGACTGCCGTAAAGAAAAATCATATACATCATAAACATTTCATATTGGTGATATTACACATCACTGTCAATATATAAGCGGTAAGTTACAGTGGTATTTATTTATGGACTTTTGTGCTATTTACAGTAGCACTCTGTTTCTGAACTGATGCAAAAGAAAAATCAGTCAAATACTTTTGACAGATGTATTAACATCTGCCTACACACACTCATTTTTACAAACTAACTAGGCCCAAAATAAATGGACTTAAACTTGCCCTTTAGTTATGTTTACTGAAGATTCACAAGCCTGGAAAGAGCTGATTTGTTAAATTAAACACATGTTTAGGCTACAGGGGCCCTACCTTCATTTCTACCATAGTAACCACTCCTGCCAATCTCATCAATTCCCACCTCACTGGCTACATGTCATATATGATACAATAAACTACAGAGAAAAGGTCAAAATACATCACACAAGGCACTCTGTTACACATCTGAGCCACAGAATGTCAAGGTGACTCATCACGTCTCATGATGCTTTATCGTTACATCCTTATTGACAACAAGCAATACAAACTTCAGCAGCTTTTACATTTTAGAGGTATTCACTCACCTCTCGATCCTGTCACGGCTCTCTGCCGTGACAGGGGAGGGGCTGGATTTCCCCCTACCCGCTCTGATCTGACAGCGCTGACTGGCGGAACGGACGAGGGAGGGGGCAGGTACAGCTGGCTCCGCCTCTAGATAGGCAGAGCCAGCTGTCAGTCACGCAGCTGGGCAGATCCCGGCACAATTGTCGGGATCCGCTTCAGCTGCGGCGTCTCAGTATACCGCAAGCTACAGCTCGCGGTATACTGAGCCTAGGGTGACGGGAAGACGCTAGTTTGTGTCCTCCCGTTACCCTAAGGAGAACTATGGGGAAAAGCCTTAACCCCACAGTTCTCCTTTAAGGTCTGGGCATTTATTACCTTAATGCATTCTCTGCATTAGGTTGAAAAAGGTCCAGTACCTTTTTTCTGCCCCCGTCCCCCCACACTTACCTGTCAGCTACGCTCGTCCCCGCTGCCGGTCCCGAAGCGATCCTCCGTTCCCCGAACTTCCTGGTTGCGGGGGGGGGGGGGATACTGATGGCAAAGGAGCCATAGGCATCTTCTGCCATCAATCAAATTGTTGGGCGGAGAAGAGGGGCGTGGTCTGCCACAGGGCCATGTGTGTCTATGGACGCACACAGCCACAAGCGTGCACAGGTGCCTCCATTAACCGATGAAGGCACCTGCGTAGGGGGTGGGGGGAAGAGCGCTGCCGGGACCCACTAGAAAATTAAAAACTTTTTAAGAAAAACGGCAACAGCCTCAATCAAAGGTGGGTCTCCTTGTAGGAAATATGTTTAAAAAAGGAGGCTTTAATATCACTTTAAACTCTTTAGCAAAGAAAAAAAAATAACCATTTTTTACAGAAACCATATTTCACTTTCCAAAACAAACAAAGAAAGAGATATAGTTGACTTTGGTGTCACATTTATGCCAATTTTCTTAGGTCAAGATTCAAATCCTATAGGGCTACGCGACAGAGTTTAAAGCTGAACTGTACATTTCTAGTAAATGCCATGTAATGTAGTTGGACTGGCGTAGTTTCTAAAAATGTAATCCCAGTATTAGTTCTTGGCAATTTACTGGTTTTGGCTGATGTTTAAAAATTGGTTCCTGCTAAGCTGTCTGGATGCAGAGTGGAAATGCAGGGACTGGTCTAGGATTCAGAAAAAAATATGCTCGGTATCTTCCTTGCACTCGGTAATGCCCACTACATGACCTGTAAATGTAATGAGAGATGGGGAGATGGTGCTTAGAAGGGTTAGAACCTCTGTCAGTTTTTCTTGTCTGTATGATTTCCTCTCGCTTTCTTTCCTTAGTGATGGTTGTCACAAGGATAGGAAGTGAAAGGCCAATCTCCCCAATTGTGACTCAGACAACTTTCAGGGATTTCTGTAATATGAGATCTACCACCGAACTAGGTCTTATTTTCGGGGTAGGTCTTATATTACAGAAATCCCTGACGATAGTGCTAGGTCTTATTTTCGGGGTAGGTCTTACTTTCGGGGAAACACGGTAACACAGTGGCTCTGACCCTTAGCCAATGAATCCAAAACTTAAAAAAAAAAATCTGTCCAGAGTAATATACTGGATACCACCCAAGAGGAACAATTTTTGTTTCATACACTAGGTGATTATTATCTGATTAATTCTAATTGAAATAATCAGTCACCTTATTCTCCTTAAGAAGAATCTATTATACGAGATTTGGAAAAAAGATAATACTATTCTATAGGCTCCACACATCCCTTATTTTAAATTGGCTAATTTTAAAACTATGGTCTTACTGTTATATATATCACTGATGATGTTTGGAAGGCGAACCAAAACTGATATTAGTGGCTTATGATATGGGCCTGCTCTGCACTCTTGTTTTTGCCTGTGGGGTTATTCACAGTATTAAGAAAAAATATATCCTCTTTGCAAAACCGCCAGATGGGTCATATAGGCTGGAATTTGAAGCAAATTTGTATTGCTTATTCCTTTAGAGGAAATTCAGATCTCTGTAACCTTCACCATATTTATTATGCAGCAAATGTTACATTCGCCGCTTAGAAAGAGCAAATAATTCACTATTAGTGGTTCAGGGGGTACTTTTGCTCCTATAATATAGTAATTAAGACAGTCTGGTGTTTAGCATGTTATGCATTTTACATAAATTGTTTATTAGTAAACTTTTTTATATATTTAAAACAAAATGAAGGAACATATGTATGCAAATCTTTCCCTTAAAAAATATGAGTTTAGCCAAGCTTCTCAAACACTGTCCTGCTTGTCTTTTAATGTGATCCGTTACCTCACTGACCAATTAGAGGTCAGGAAGGGTGGGGCTATCTACATAAAATAAATCATTATTTGTAAAGAACTTCAGCTGCCCATATTTCTAGATCAACTTAGGTTTAGAGATGTGCTTCTTACTGAGGATTAACTCTACTTGTGCATTTTTTAAATCTGAATGTCACATGTTTATGACAAGTTTACTATAAAGTGTCCCTGTTTGGTACGAAAAGTTAAACCAACATCCCCCAGTAAAAAAGGAGGAATAAGTTGGCTATTGTGTTCCCAACTGACCTTTGTGGTTCCTCCCACCAACAACTACATCATTACAGGACTACAGAAAGTGGAAGTCCAGATCACTTTGAAGGGTATATATGGTCAAAAAATAAATATGCAATTCTATTTTGAATTTCCATAACTTTTATCCCACTCATAACCATATTGAACTAGAAGTTTGTAAACTTACTAATTGAAGATGGCCATAGGATGCATTTCCTGAATGCACGGACACAATTTCACTTAGCCCTGTGAATATGCACTTCTTTGTGTTACAACTCACAGAGCCTGTCTTCGGAAAAACAACTCAACATCTGAACAATGACACATTATCATTGCTTTCTGAAAGCAATGCCTGATGGGTTATGTAGTCTTGAGAAATCGAGATTGCATCACATCAAGCAGCAGGGAAAGAGATCCAAAGCACACTGGGAATCCAGGATATTGTTTAAAGTGGTGGGAAGATAGAAGGCAGCACTCCCTACATAAAAGGGATTTTTTCAAGTAAGCTTGAAAGGCAAGTATTAGGGATGCATCAATACCATTTTTTCCAGACCATGTATGGACCGTGCAATGCAGAATAATACCATCAGCTATAGAGGACTGCAAATCCCAGCAAAACATTATACAGCAATGCCGAATAATACCATAAGCTATAGAGGAATACAAAACCCAGCAATACATTATACAGCAATGCAGAACAGCACCGGCCTTAGAGGACTAGAAATCTCAGGAATACATTATACAGCAATGTAGAACGGCACAGTCTATAGAAGACTACAAATCCCAGCAATACAATATACAGTAATGCAGAATTATACCATCTACAGAGAACTGCAAATCCCAGCAATACGTTATACAGCAATGCAGAATAATAGTATATTAATTTTCTACATACTTTGTGCTGCCGCTTTGCTCTGGGGTGAGGGCCTGATATCTTGGGTGGCGGGTTTCAGGAGGGCTGCGGAGGGTCTCATGAGGGGGAGATGTACGAGCCAGCACTGTAAACAGGCACTGCCTGGTTCCCCAGAAGGCTGCTGTGAGGTCCCCAGCAAGCGCGGGAAATTAAGGCAGCCACTTCAATTAAAAAATGTAAAGTGCCGGTATATGTTTTGGGTATCGGGGCATTTTCACAAATACGAGTACTTGTGAAAACGCCCCAATATCAACACCAA